CTCTTCATGTATGATGTTCTTGATGTCATCCCACAACTCTTCTGGTCTTCGGTCTTTAGTGTTTAATGCATCAAATCTGTTCTTCAGTTGATCTCCAAATTCAGGTGGGATAAATTCAAGGTCATATTTTGGCTCTCATGGACTTGTTTTCATTTTCTTCAGCTTCAGTTTGAATTTGCATATGAGTAGTTGATGGTCTGTTCCACAGTCTGCCCTGACCTTGTCTTCACTGATGATTTGGAGCTTTTCCGTCTTCTCTTTCCACATGCTCATGGTAATGGTTAAAGAGGCATGAAAATGCATGCCTTCCATAAGGTTGCCATTACAGAGAAAGGCTCAAATGTTCAGACACTGAAGATGTTTAAATGTTTTCCCTAGACCTGGAGTGTTATGATACTAGTGAATAAACAATATTCACATAGTTTGGTTGCCTTTTCCTTTTTTAATCATAGCCATCTTAGTGGGCAGTGTCTTGATATGGCGCTGTAGGATAAGCACTGGATCGCAAGGTCAGTTTGAACCACAAGGTCAGTGGTTCAAATTCACCAGTCACTCCTCAGAAACCCTATCCAGGGTTGCAATGAGTCAAAACTTACTCAATGGCACTTAATACCTTAGTGGACACCAAGTAATAGCTCATTATAATTTTGGTTTGGCATTTGTTTAATGACTAATAATGTTAAGCATCTTTTCATGTGCTTATTGACCATTTCGTCTACAAAGTCACTGGTGGGTGTAAACCACTAGCCTTGTAGTTAGCAGTCTGGTGCTTATTCTAAAGCACCACCAGGGCTCCTTAGAAAACCATATAGGATGGTTTTACTTCTGGTGTGGTGTGCTGTAGGATAAGTGCAGCGCTTCAAGGTTGGTTTGAACCACAAGGTCAGCAGTTCAAACTCACCAGTCACTCCTTGGAAACCCTGTACTGGGTTGCTATGAGTCAGAACTGACTCCACAGCACTTAACAACAAGGTCAGTAGTTCAAACTCAGCAGCTATTCCTCAGAAACCCTATACAGGGTGACTATGAGTTGGAATCAACTGTGTGGCACTAAACAACAACAAAAGGGTGATAATGGCTCCATATGATTATCAAGGAACTATGAACTACAAGGTCAACTATTCAAGCCTACCAGCTGCTCTGTGGGAAAAAGATGGTATTTCTCTGCTTCCACAAAGATTTACCACCTCAGAAATGCAGGGTTATTATAAGTCAGAACCGACTTAGCCAGCAGCACTTAACAACAAAAGAGGGTCGCTAAGGAACCCTGGTGGTGCTGTGGGTTAGCTGTTGGGCTGCTAGCAGTAAAGATGGCAATTGAAGCTCATTAGCTGTGTTCCCCAGGAGAAAGCTGTAATAGTCTCACATACCATAGCATGGTTAGCCATTGAGATAAAAAAGGCAGCGTTTACCCAAGGACAAAAAAGAGTTGGGGAAGATGGGAGATTGGAGACAAGGAGGAAGTGGAGCACATGATGTTACAAATGGAGCACATGATGTTACAATGTGGTCATTGGGATGAAACAGAGTGTATGCTCTTTCAAATGTAAGGCTGATGATCTGCTTTGTAAACTTAAAAATATATATTTATAGTCTCGGAAACCCTATATAGGAGGGTCATTATGAGTCAGAATCACTTTAGTGGCAGACAATTGGCTGTTAGTATTCTTCTTTGGTGAAATGTGTTTTCAGGTCCATTGTCCATTATTTTATTGAGTTGTTTGTCTTTTTTTTATTGAGCTGTAGGAGTTCTTTATATATTCTGGCTATTAAACCATTATTAGATACATGGTTCACACTTTCTCCTATTTGCAGCAGAATTTTTTAATTGATAAAAATAAAGAAGGGAAGACATTTCTGGGACTATAAACCAAAGAAACCGTAGTGACCCTATAGGATAGAGTAGAACTGCTCCATAGGGTTTCCAAGGCTGAAATCTTTACAGAAGCAGACTGACACATCTTCCACCTCTGATCTCTGTTAGGAGCCAAGTACTTAACCACTGCTCCACCAAGGTTCCTCTCTGGGACACCAGAGGCCACTTTTTGTTTTTTAATTCCTTGCTATCCAGACACTACTTGTTGTTAAGTGCTGTCGAGTCAGTTCTGACTCATAGTGGCCCTGTATAGGGTTTCCAGGGAGAGGGTGATGAAGTTGAACCACCAACCTTGCAATTCAAACGAACCTTGCAGTCCTGTGCATTATCCCACAGTGCCATACCAGGACACTAATTAGCAAGCTAAATTAAAATATAAAAGTTCATCTCTTGCACATGCATAAGTGTCCTCTGTATCATTCCCAAAAGCCTTAGTCCTTCTGAGTGATGCACATACTTTTCAAGCCCCCTACATTGCATATCTTAATCCCTGTGCAGCTCTGTGTGTGTGTGTGATGAAAACTTAATTCTCAGCATTGGAGAAATTTTTGAAAAGAAGCAGTGATTTATTTACTTTCAGTTACAAGAGAACTCAGAGATTGTCCTTCCTGGTCGAGTGTTCCTATTTAACCCAGATTCCAGCAGTCCCTTTTTACCATTCTTGGGAAAATAACTGCCACCCAAGTTATCAAGTCTTTGTTATAGCATATTGTTGCTATTAGGTGCTATGAAGTCAGTTCCAACTCCTGGCAACCCAGTGTATAATAGAACAAAACACTGCCTGCTCCTGTAGGACCCCCACAATCCTTGTTCAGTTTGAGCCCATTGTTGCAGCCACTGTGTCAGTCTTTCTCATTCAGGGTCTTCCTCTTTGTTTTGTTTTTTTCTGACCCTCTACTTGACCAAGAATGACATTCTTCTCCAGGCATTGGTCTCTCCTGAGAACATGTCCAAAGTACATGAAATGAATGAAGTCTTACCGTTCTTACTTCCAAGACAAATTTATTCATTAAAGTCTTCCTTATTCATTTTCCAGATTTCATATAGAAGAAGCTATTGAAAATACCCTGACTTGGATCAGGCTCACTTTAGTCCTCAAAGTAACATCTTTACTTTTTAATATTTGAAAGATGTTATATTATAAAATACAGACCAAATATCTAAAGATTTGAGGATGTCACTAAATTAATTTTTTTATGAAAAAATATCTTCTTGTTCTTTTCTGTGTTAGTTCCAAAGTGGTAAGACAGTCCTCTGGGTGGAAATTACAAAAGGACAGATTTTGACTTATTTCAAAAATAAAAATTTGGAAGCAAGACTCTCCAAAGATGAAGACTAAAGATGGCAGAATGTATTTATGCCTGGCATAGGTGGCCGTTTGCAGAACAGGTTCAAGTAGCCAATAAGTTATTAATCTAAAGATTCTGTTATTTGATGATTACTTATCCGGGGAGTCAGGACAGAAATGTAGTCAGGAGTGGGGCTGTTGTGTTACATGCTGCCAAGTCAGTTCCAACTCATAGCGACCCTGTAGAGGGTTTCTGAGGCTGTAAATCTTCACAGAGTAAAAAGCCTCATCTTTCTCCCAGGGAGCAGCTTGTGGTTCACAGTCCAGTGTTTATCATATGGAGGCACCACACTTCCCAGGAATGAGGTGGTTAAGTACCATCAAATTGGGTCCGGCTTATAGCAACCTTGTTTAGGGTTTCCAAGGAGCGGCTGCTGAGTTTGAACTGCTGACCATGCAGTGTAAACAACCTTGCAGTCCAGTACTTATCCTAAAGTGCCACACCAGGACTTCAGGAATGAGATAGGGTCCATGATTTTATTTGGAAATAATGCCTAAAATGAGCTTTTGTGTTTTTTTCAGATAACAGATAGCACGTTAATCCAACTTTCTATACACTGTCCTCGTCTTCAAGTATTGGTGAGTATTGTGTGTCTATTGGACGTTCACTCTTACTCTCTCTTTAGTGTCTGACTACAATTTCGGGAAGGGATTTTTCTCCAAATTGTCAATTTATAGGGGAAGAAGGAAGGAACTGAGTGAAGAGGCAAACTAAGTTAGGAATTAGGAAAAGTTCATTTTGTTCTAGACCAACGCTCAGAGCCTGAAAACTGACACTGACCTGAATGGGGCGTAACTGTCCAGAGATCCAGACCATGAAATGGGGCAAAGTATTTACTTCACCTTGGGACCAAATAGTCATATAAAACAAAACTAACTAAGGCTTTCATTGAAGGAAATGTGCTTTCTACTGCTTTCAGTGACACTATAGGAAGGCATTTGATTGGCTTTTCTGTATCCAGACTTTAATGTGTGTGTTGGTACATTACTATGTAAAATGGGGTTAGGTGTTCTGAGTTTCATGTGGCAGAACCAAGATTTAAGGAAAATTAATGAAGTAGTAACTGTTGTTGGTACGTGTTGTTGAATCTGTTTTGACTCAACAACCTAATATAAGGTTTCCGAGGAGCAGCTGGTGGGTTCAGCTGCTGACCTAGGAGGTTATATGAAGAGATTATTAGCACACCTAGTAGCTTTAAGAATCATCTTCAGTCAGTGAACTGTGGCCATGCCCCTGCCCTAGGGTTTAATACTTAGTCCAAATTTCTAGAAAATTTTGTGCAGAAAAAGTTTGAGCCCTACTGGCTCCTACAGAAGGAGTCCTGGTTAGGCATTCGGCTGCTATCCACAGGTCCACAGTTCAAATCCACCAGCCACTCTGAGGGAGAAAGAGGAGGCTTTCTACTCCCATGAAGATTTACAGTCTCAGAAACGTTACATAGGGTTGCTCTGAGTCAGAATTGACTCAGTGGGAGTGGGTTGATTGGTTAGCTTCTATAGAAGGAGCCCTGGTAGCGCAATAGCTAAGCACTCAACTGCTAATTGAAAGGTGGGAAGTTTGAACTCACCAAACTCTTCATGAGTTATCAAAAGCAGAGTCCTGGAACTCTAGTTTGCTTTCTTTTTTCCACTAAATGGCTCTGTATTCATCAAAAGCAAACCAGAAAGGTCTCCCTTAGGATTTTACAGAGACCTCTGACTAGAAGAATGCCATGAGATAGTTCAGCATCCTTCCTTCCTTCCTCTATTTGGCTGCAGAGTCTGTCTCACTGTGAGCTGATCACAGACGATGGGATTCGTCACCTGGGAAATGGGGCCTGTGCCCATGACCAGCTGGAAGTGATTGAGCTAGACAACTGCCCACTAATCACAGATGCATCCCTGGAGCACTTGAAGAGTTGTCACAGCTTGGAGCGGATAGAACTCTATGACTGCCAGCAAATCACAAGGGCTGGAATCAAGAGACTCAGGGTAAAGATGACTGCATCACACTCTAGCCCTGGTGTTCCCAGCACCTTCTCTTTCTTTCTTTGTTCCTTTCTTTCTCTTTTTTATTTTCAGATTTATCTTTCTGGGACTTTTATATTTACTTAGACATTTAGCAAGAAGAAATGGAAAATAAATTTAAGGGTAGATCATTCTTAACTATGGTTTGGATGGAAATTTAGTAGGAAAATACCATCTTTGTGCCACTCTTACTTACCATATACAGTGCCTTAAATATAGTAGATATTCAGAAACTGTATTTATGTACTATAGATTAGAATCGTGTTATTAAGAAGAAAACGAGAAAGTTACATGAGCTTGATTTGTCATTTAGAACAACTTGGAATGGTACAAAGTATAGCCCAGGCCTCTCAACAACTCTGACTGTTGCCCAGCCTCTACATTGCTTTCATGTTCATTTAGCCCTTTCTTGGTTTTTCTGAAAAGCAGCCTTGCTCTTTCTGTTGAAACCCTCTTTCTTAGTAATGTTTCTGTCTTGTTTCAGACCCATTTGCCCAATATTAAAGTCCACGCCTACTTCGCACCTGTCACTCCACCCCCGTCAGTAGGAGGCAGCAGACAGCGCTTCTGCAGATGCTGCATCATCCTATGACAATGGAGGCTGTCAACCTTGGTGAACTGAGTATTTAATGACACTTCTAGAGTTACCGTGGAGTCTCTCCAGTGGACACGACCCCAGTGTTCTGGGAAAGGGTTACAAAATGAGGGTAGTGTCCAGATCCCCAGGACCATACGTTCGTACACGTACCTGCCCTCACCCCATCACTCTAGCTCTGTGACCATGGGACTGAAGTCCATGCTGGCTTATTTATCAAGTGGATGGGTAAAAGGTAACCATTCTTGTTGGACATGCCCAGAAGAAAATCACAGACCAAGATAGAGGGAAGGGGCCATTCCAGCAAACTCAGTGTTACTGCTATTGCAGTTTCTTTATTTTGTTGAGGGGTTTCTTTGGGAATTTTTGAAACAACAGCTTCAGTCCTTTGGGGTGAACAAAAATATGGAAAACCAAGATATGATCCAGGGACCAGAAAGAAAATTTCTTTGCATCCTAGAAATGGCAGCCATTCATTGTAAAATGACTACAGAGCTTCTGTGCTTCGTTGTTTCCATGACAACATGCTAAGCATGCTTACAAAGATGGCCCATCCATTCCTCCTGTGTTTCAGTATTTGGCCCAGAGATTTCCCAAATGGTTACACTGAAATCACTGTGGTCCAAATGTGATTACTTGTTCACTCAAATTGTCACTCTCTAGCACACTTGTGCACCTGTCTTCCTTTCTGTTGCTCCCTCCTGTGGTCTTGCTCAGTCTGTCACCCATTCACAGTCTGCTTACTCACAGTCAGTTGCTGTTGTGTTTACAGTTTGCATTTTGAATGATTAGTTGGGGTTACCAGACATTTTTAAAAGAGACATAATCAATAAATTTTTTTTTTATTCTAAATTTTACCAGTAGGGGACCCTGCCTGAATCTTTACCAGTCTGAAGGAAAACTAACAAAAGCAAGAAATAGTATGAAAAGAAATTGAGCTAAAACTATTTTGGTGAAAACACACTTCACCTTTTGGTTTCTCTTCTCTCTTGTATGATATACGCGTGAAATGCCCAGTATTTCCCTCTGCACATTTTTCCTTCCATCAGACTCCACTATACATTATTAGTAAAGAGTGTAATGGTAAACCCTCAGCCTAAATCCCTACCACCCAAGCTCAGACATTAATAGTTTGCTTTGTCATATGTCCCCTGAAGTCTTAAATGTGACCAGTGATGTCTGTCACCTGTGTCTTGAGCAGGACTGCTGCTACAGGAGCTGTGCAGTCTAGCCTGTCCGTTTCTCTTTTCCCCCATTTCAGCCCATCAGGGATACAAGAATGGCCCTGTAACAAGGGGCCAACTCTTATCTCCATGTTAAACCAGATCATAGCTAATACTGGAGCTTCAAAAGGCCAGCACCTGTCAGCCACAGTGCCTTCTGCTCCAGATGTCCCTGAGGGAAATGCAAGGTAGCCAGCCAGGGGAAGACATTGGAGCAACCAGGAGAGAGCATTGAGAGGAAGCTGAGGGCAGAGTGAATCAGTGCTCATGGCTCAGCCCAAGAAACCCCCACCACCCACACACACACAAAAAAAAACCCTCCAGGGCTAGAAACCTGGTGTGATTTTTAATAGTGCAGTGTGGGCAGCGGGGCTTTTAGGATATTAATGTGCAGTCCACCATGCTCCTTGATGTTTTCCTATGGATCTTCATGATCTTGCTCTTAAAAACGGTTTGTTTTAAAGATTATGGTCTTAGTTTTACCAGCATAGGAAGCTCAAATTGTTTTTTGTTTTATTTTGTTCTTTTTCATTATCCCTTCTTCTCAAATTATGTTATAAGGAATACACTTTTTTAAGTGATACTGACTCTTTCTAACTATACTTAAAAGTAAAAAGAACTTTAAAGCATCCTATTCACCAGTCCATGAAGAGTCTCGGAAGTTGTGTTTCTCTACTCAAAAGCTGTACCCATATACAGATCCGTGTGAATCTGCCAAAATGATCCCTGAAGTTGAGTTAAAATCCAGCCTGTAGGGCCAAGAACAGATCCAAATGAGAGAGCAAGGCCTGGTATACAGCACTGGCATGCATATATATATATATATATACATTAAGGCAAGAGCCTTATTTCCTCCTCGAGAAAACTTCAGGCCCATCGAGCTTGGAAGAAAATTTGTCTTGTGTGCCAATCTGCACCCTACACCAGCTGATGAATGTACTAATATTTTGATAACACAGAGCATGGTAAGTTCCAGTCAGATGGAAAAGGTCTTGAACACAATACTTACTGTCTCAATAACTGAAATACTTTGGAAATTCATCAAGGCTTAATGAGTATAGAGAAAAATTCTCTTTCAGGATAGCATGTGGGTGCATTTGTCCGGCTCCATAGCCCCTCCAGTATATACCTTCTGTAATGAAAAAACACCATGTGAATGGAGAGAAACATTTTGGGTAAATGAGGTACCCTCAAAGCTATTGCCATAACCTGAAGATGTCAGGAAGGAGTACTGCCGTCTCTGGAGAAAGTTTTTGAGCATCTAGAGCCTGTCTTTTGTAAGCAGCTCTCCCTGCTAGGCTCATCCGTTTCATGTTCCACCAAGCATGGTTTGCTGCATTTGTCTTTGTTACATCCTCTTCCATTGGCCCATTGAACTTTTTTGTTTTTTTTTTATTTTTTGTGCATCGACTCCCCTCATTTCCTTCCCACATCCACCCTCTACTGAAAGCTTCCATCTCACTCCTAGTAATGCTGCTAATTTTTTCTCCTCTCCAGTGTAGCTTCCTCTCTGGGTCCTCATCCTGATCCAGGCAATACTGTCAGGTGCAGCCTTGAGTGAAGTCACTGTCAGTTTGCTCCAGCCATTTTTTCACTGGGTGGATGCTTGCTTACGGAGCTTGAAATCAAACTATTGGGTATGAGGAATAAGGGGATTTGGCTTCAGCCTTTTTTCCAATATTTGGAATATAAAAGCACATTGTGTTTTTACTTATATGAAAAAGTTTCTCCTCTTATTCTGCTCTTTAGAGGATAGAAAAGGATTCCTTAAATGCTTTTTGTGAATTTCCAGTGTGATTTTCACATCCACTTACTTGATTTAGCAGAGATATAAGTCAGAATTTTTACATATTTCTTGATTCATACATTTTAGAGGAACACCTAATAAATATTTTTATGATTCTTTCTTTGGGGCTTTCCAAACTGAGTAATTCAGTGTAGCTATAGTCCTGATGTGGCGCTGCAGGCTAATGCGCTGGACTGCAAAGTCAGTTTGAGCCACAAGGTTGGTGGTTCAAGCTCCTCAGCCACTCCTTGGAAACCCTATATTGGGTTGCTATACAGGGTTACTTAACAACAACATAATTACTGCAGGAGCCAATTTCTTTCAAGTCTTCTAATTGCCTTGTAAAATGCAGTGCTCATCATTTGATAGCCCACTGCCATGGGGGAGGAGGGTACTAAGCATACAACGTCTGCTTATTTATGTGGACTGGGAGGAAATGTGAAAGTGTTACTAGAGAGAAGAGTGGTATGTTTCCTTTCCTGTCTGGGCAGTATGTCCTTAGATACCTATGTCCTTTGGAGAAGAGAACACTCTTCACAGCTGACTCTTGGCAGTTAAGTGTTTATTGTACTGGAAATCAGACTGCTCATGCCAGTTGCCACCAGTGAGGAAACATTTGAAGGAAATTGGTCTTTACATGTATGCTTTAAGGGTGGATATCTCCATTTTGCTTCCTGGCTCACAGACTCTCAGTGATAAGCTTTGGGATGCTAAACATTTTATTAAAAGATTGCCTATATCTGCCTGCCCATTCTAGGGTCAGCTCAAACACAGGCACTGTTTATTAGCCTGGTCTTTGAGAATAGGGTGTAGGATGTATGTTGACAGTCTTGAGGCAGACCTCCCCATGTCCCCTCTTTCAGTGAGGGATGATTTGGACCAAACAACTTCAAACAATAGGAAAGTGAGGGGAAAAATAGAATTCCAGTCGCTCCTCACTTTTAGTCCCTTTATTTCTGTCATAAACTTTAATTGGAAAATGCAGAACTCTGTATAAAGAGCATGTGGACAGGGTACAATTAATCCAGGTAATTTGGGAATAAAATTTGGTTGTGACTGTTGTATCCAAAAGCCCAAATTTATCTTTATTCTCCAACAAAGAACATATTGTGCTTTTCACTAGCTGCTTTAACCTTGTCCTCTCACTTAAGACAGACTTTCTCCTTCCCAGAAACTACCATATGAGGCAAGTGAGTTTTCAGCATGAAGGGCTTCTGCAGCCTCCCTCTCAAGGTGGCCCCTCTTTTGTCCATTTTCATTCTTATGAGCTTCAGTTCAACTCTGAAACCTTTGGTCCTTGAGTCTGGGTGAATCTTTGGAGCCCAAGAGAGTGCTACTTATTTCTCAACAGAAAAAAATGTGTTTGTAAAGAATTTCCATAATGCACTTTTTCCATCTCTGCCTCATGGGGTTTTGAATAAACCCTTGGTAAAGTTTGGTTCCAAGGTGTTGAGTGTCAAGTACGTCCTTGGCCAGGAAAGTCTACTGCCCTTTTAGGAAGCAGAGCCAAGAGTACCCATAACGTAATCAATTTGGCCTTTCTATTTTGCATGTTGGCCAGGGCCTTGTTTTAAAAGAAGAATTGGGATGAGGAAATGGTAGATGAGGTTCATAGTAGAGGAGCTAACCAGTTACAGAACTGGAGTACTTTGCCTCAAGTACGAGCATCTGTCCTGAATATATACAGCTGCCTTTCGTGTGGGTAGATTGACTTTCCTTTCCATCTGATGAACTCCATGCCCTTCTTACTGGCAAGGACTTACAGTGGTTCCAGAGAGGACTTCTACTTTCCACACACCTAAACAAAGCCAGCTGGATATGGGGATTGGCATCACTGAAAGGACTGCCTCTGGGGCAGGTGGGCAATAAACGAGATTGAAGAATAGAAACCTCCAGACACATGCCTTTTCTGCCCAGTCCTCAAGAGCCCAGGAAAATCTGAAATCTAGCTCTCTTCTTGCTAGTGGAAGAAAAATGTGTCCTGCTAAGTTATTCTTGTCATTGTCTCTTACTACTTTTAATACAAATTAACACCACATTGCTGCTCATATATATATGTTTCTTACCTTAGCCTAACTCTTCTCAGCCCTGAAGTCTTTATTCTCAGTTTTTTGTTTGTTTTGTTTTGTTTTAAGTGGCACTAGAAAATGGGAACCTAAAGTCTTCAGAAACTCTAACTTGCAAAAGTATCTAACTGGCATGGTTTGATGAATTATTTTTATCCCCTAACGACTTGAATGACTTTCTTTGCTAGTGCTGTACAATAGATCTGTAATAAGCAAAACCCTTTGCTGCTGCTTTCCCAGATTTACATCAGTTTTTTCCCTTTCCTTAAGAATTATTTATTTGTGCTTCTCTGATGACTGTTAATTTCTAGTAAGTGCAGGAAGAGGTGAGCCTGAGATATCTTCTCTTATTCCCCTTATAAGCCCACCCCAAATTATATACTAACTTCTTAACTTCTAGAACCTGTTGGCACATGTACAGATCCACGGGACATGGCTTAACAGAAACTACCAGTCTTCTTTCTCCCCGTGCTGTGGCTCTCGGAGCTGGCCACAGAGGACTACCCACTCCAGAGGTTACTGGAGCAGAAAAGAGGCCTTCTTATTTTGCCTGTCTCCATTCCTGTTTTATGACTCAGCCTTCAGATGCTTCCCACTCTTTCTCTTTCCCCCCAGGAATTGTTTCCTGCCATGTGCATTCCCCAGCTGCTCTTCTCTCACCTTTGCCCACCTTCTAGTTCCAGCGACCCTGAGAGCACAGGCCTGAGAAAGTTGGCCTGCGCAGAGCTCAGAGAACTGTGAGGCCTGGCCCTGCCTGGCAGACTCTGCTTAGGGCTCAGAGATGAACTGTAAGGCCTAGCCCTGCCTGGCAGACTCTGCTTAGGGACAGAGATGAATGGGTAAATGGTGCTGATGGAGAACTTTTCATCTTTAAACCAGGCTCTGTTTCCTCCCTGAACCTACTCCCCTGAGGGGGTAAAACACAGAAGGATATTAACCCCCAGGATCTGGAGTGCTTCTGTTGTCTGGGAACTGCTGCTTGCCTGTTTTCTCCACCAGACCTGCTCCAGAGCTTAGCCTGTCCCTGGGGATGACACAGTTCCTACATGGTGACTTTATACCGCGTTCATCAGCTGTCTACGTGACTGTGTTTTCACTCAATTATTTGGCACTTGAGGGTGGGAGGGAGGGAGGGTTATTTAAAAAAAAAAAAAAAAAAAAAA